ATAAAGCAAGAACTTTTAACAAGTAATTTAGACTGTAGTGCGAAAGATGAAACAAATGAACAGTATCTTTATGAAATGCAGGACATTATTGACCATTTACCCAAATTGCCTGAAATCCAACAACAAAAACTAACTATTCCTGAATTCGACGAAATTGAAGTGAAACCAACTGACTCAGTAGAAATAAAGAAGTTCATACGTAAAGTAAATTATGAATTCCTTGGTTTTCATTGCAACCATAAAGTTATGGACAAAGATTGCGACATGGTATATAAAAACATTTCTGACATATATAAATCTGAAGAATTTAAGACCTACGACAACTTTGTTTCGTTAGTTGCAAAATGTGTTTGGGAAATAAGAGATAAAGATAGAAGAGGCAAAGTATGGAATGAACAGATAAGACCCGCTATGTTTGAGATGAAGAAAACCATTGACGCCTTAGTTGTTCTAGCAGGTCAAATTTCAATGTATAATGCAAAAATGAACCCACAATGTTCAAAATGTAAAGCAGCAATAAGGAAATATAACTACTCCGTCAAAGAGATAGAAAGAATGAGAAACGACTATGCAGACTTAAAGAAAGAAGCAGAAAAGCCAGCAGAAGATAAAATGAACATGTTAGAATTTCTGAACAAAAACTATCCAACAGCAGAAGATTTCCTTCTATCTGACGTCAAGAAGAAGTATAAAGAAACCTTCGGTATTGTTAAAACTTTTGACATACTGACAGAAGAAATAGAAGCTACGAAATTGTTTAGGATTTCAAATATACATCGTACAATTCATGTAAAACGCTTGTGAAAAAAAGAGGTGAAAAATTAGGTGAAAAAAGAGGTGAAATCTCACCTCTTCACCTAAATTATATTTTTGGTCATTTACACTCATTTACGAAGAAGTCATGACAAAGCATTTACGATGAAATCTTGACAAGGCATTTACGAAGAAGTTATGACAAAGCATTTACGAAGAAGTTATGACAAAGCATTTACGAAGAAGTTATGACAAAGCATTTACGAAGAAGTTATGACAAAGTCATGAGGGTGAAAAATTAGGTGAGAAAACAGGTGACATCTCACCACTTCACCTAAACATTATTTTTGGTCAAAGCTTCCACGAGAGAAAAGATTCCTCATTCGCTAAGGATTCCAAAAATGAAAAAATCATTGATTTCGGCTGAGAAAAAACAGCAAAACCCTTCTTCCACGGGAACAAAGAAATAAAGAAGAAATAAAGTAAATTTTTTATTTATTCCCGTGGAAGATAGAGCACTTTTATGACACTTTTTATTCACGACAAACAAGACAAACAAAGAAAATAAGAAAATACGGCGCTGTCGCGGTTCGAACCACAGACCCTGACCCCTCCATAACACCACCTTAGACCACTGTGCTACGTAGCCTGTCGACATAAGATTTTATAAATTGCATATTTGACGTAAATTTATTTCCATCTGGCTTCCCACTGCATAAGATATTCATACGTGTTTGTAAGACATTCATTAAACTTCTTTTCTATTGCATCTAATCTTGCGTTATTTTTTTCAATAACTTGTCTGTATTCTTCATCATCTCCAGCAGTGTTTGGGTCTTCACGTTTAAAATATTCATTGTTAACCAATTTTTTATCTACAAATTTTATTAGTGTTTGATTCACTTCGTTATGATAACGGTCATATTCTTTCAATACGTAAGTGAAGACAAAATGCGTCGTACCTTCAATCTTAAAGCTTAAAGAACTTTCAACACAGTTTTGAGGGTCTGTCAGTGCGTCAATGAGATAGTATTCGAAGTCAGTCAATAATCTTTTTAAAGTCATTTCATACAGGATAAAATTTAATGTTGTGAAGAAATAGTGTTTAACACAGAAAAAAATAAAGTTAGTTTTTATTTTATTTATTTTTTTATCCGGAATGTAAAGACAGATATGTCAACATCAGAGAACACAACAACTGCTATCGTTCATGAAGCCATAAATGAAGAATACGAATACATACAGTATAACAAACAGTTACGTCTCATTCGTTCAGTCAAAGATGATATGTATCAAATGCAAAGTATAATGAACGCTCTTCGTTCTACAAAGCAAGCATATCATTGGTTTGAAAACCAACAGGCAAAAGAACTTTTAGAAGAATTTCCTCATATGATTGCTTCCCTCGGAAAACCGAGGGAAGAGATTCCGTACGAAAATCGCAAGAATTTGGCTCCTGGTTTGAAAGGTTATTATGTTCATAGACTTCTCGTAAATGCTGTAGCAATGTGGGCTTCACCTCGTTATGCTTGTTATATTTTCATGATGTTAGATGAACTATATAAAGCAGAACGTGGAGAGATGGAAAAGAAACTTCAAGCAAAAGATGAAGTCATTGAATCCAAAGACAAAAGCATACAGAAAAGAATACCACGTTCAGTACCAAAAGGAAAGGAAAAGAGTTATAAGTATATGATTTACGCTGAAGAGATGGAAAATGAAGAAGATAAAGATATGGTTATGTTGCATTTAGTCAGAAGAAACAACAAAAGCTTTTATGACCTTGCTAAGATTTACAAATCTGACAGAAACTGGTTCTATCGTGAAAGCTTACCGATTTCAATGACACCGAATGAGCAAATAAAGGAAATTGTCAAAAATACTCTTCCTCAAACACACTATGACATCAAAGGTTGTACAATACTTACATTCAAAGAAGACTTACCATTACTGAAAGAAAAAATAACAGAATATTTCGACAACTTCAAAGAGGAAGAATGAAGTCACGACAACATTAACGAAGAAGTCACGACAACATTAACGAAGAGAGAATGAGGTGAAAAAACGGGTGAGATTCTCACCTCTTCACCAAAAATATATTTTTGGTTAAATAGCTTCAGGGTCAATTTCTTCAACCATTTCACTTCCTTCGTCAATGTCAATAGAAGCTTCTTCAACCTTTGGTAAGAACTTTTGTATGACATCTTTGTTCGTTATTGTCTTCAGAGATGAAGGATAATATTTCACATTTATTTCACCCTTCTTATATTCTTTCTGTTCGGAAAGATTTAAAGCAATACTGAAGAAGTCAACGTTAGAGTTCTTTATGACAGTATAATGAGTATCTTTGACATTCACGAAGAAACTCTTTTGTTTCAAAACTACTGCTAACTCTTGTGAAGTATAACGTTTGCGGTCAATGACGATAGCTAATGGTCTGACATACTGACCAAACTTAGATTCTTTCACAAACTTCTTGTTAAAGATAACATTAACGTTTGAAGCATTATTGAACTCATTCTTGATGGCAGTAGCGAGAGCATTGTATGAAAAGAACTTGCAATCTTGCATGTGTTTCATTAAAATAAAAATATTAAATTATTTTGAAAAATAACTTAAAAAAAATCTAATCTAATTTTTTCAAAAATTATTTTTTTATTTCCTACTAAAGATGTATCGGAAGTTGTCTAAGTTAGAACACTCGGAAATAAAACAACTTCTTACAGAAGCTAATATAGATGTTGCAAAGCATTACGCAACAAACAAAAAGGCACTCGCTGACTTCATTAAAGACTATAATGGTGCAATAAGTTATGATAGAATTCATGAGTTCATAAAGCCGCAACGCGGCGAGGACGAAGTCCATGCAAGAGCATTTCCTTTAAATGACATTGCTATTGACTTATATCATAGACGTTCAGTACCTCATGAAGTAAGAAGAGAAATGTTTGACATAACAAATGCAAACGTTGGTGAAACAAGAAGAGCTGTACCTCATGAAGTAAGAAGAGAAATGTTTGACATAACAAATGCAAACGTTGGTGAAACACGAAAGAGAGATGACACACTGAAACAACAGAGAAGAGAGATGTTTAAAAGTGCTATAGAACAAGTTCGCAAAGCTAACGATGTCATTCGTTCCATTGACGACAAACCAAAAGAAGGTGAGAGATGGTTAAAGAAAGATGAAGAGAATAGGAAGAGAAATGTGAAGTCAGGCAATAGACTCATTGACTTTAACATCGAAGCTTTAGATGAACCAAACAGAGACTACTTACACAAACATTTCGGTAAGGTTTTCATGAGACTCTTAGAGAAAATTAAAATAAACTCAACAGAGATGGATGGTATGTTATAAACTTGGTGGAAAGTATGAATGTTCTACGTTAAACCTCAATAATATTGGAACATTACTACATCAGCTCTTGAAGGAGAACTTTATATCAGAGATAGAAGCAAATGCTGCAGGTATTGTTGAAATGCACTATGACTTCTTCTTGACAAACATAAAGAATCTTACGAAATAAAGATGTATGATTTAACAGAATATGAAGGCTTAACGATGTCAGATGTAAAGAAAGGCAAACCAAAAAAGAGACCATATAGAGATGAAAGCACACTGACAAATGACCAGAAAGCCATTTTGGAAGCTCTTAAGCAAACAGGAAACCCAGCACTTATAGAAAGCTTTGGAAAGATAATGGTGAAAAGAAGTTTTATAAGAAGAGAAGCGGTCAGTTCTGGAAGTATCTTTGCACATTACCTATAAATCTTGAACGCTACCAAATCTTCAATGAACTGAACAAAAGAACTGCAACACTTATGACAGAGGACAATTGTTTCGTTTATGCTTGCATTCAGGCTGGAGTAAATGAAGAAACTATTGACCACATGAGAGAAGTCATTCGTGTTAGAGACTTTCCTCAAAGTAAAGTACAAGAAATTTCTGACGCAACAGGTATAGCATTTAATGTTACCATTGGTTATTTCAATGACTCAAGACATAATGAAATAAAGAGATATATACCAAAAGAATGCGAAACTGTTAGAACTATTGACTTACTTCTTGTTGAAGACCACTACATGCTAAATGAAAGATTACCAATGACAACATACTTCATTCGAAACTATATAGAAATCTGAAGGAGTGTGGTGGAATGAACATTGAGAAACAGATGAAGATTTATACAAAGAGAGAAGATAAATATGTAGTTCGTTATGATAGAACAACACCGTTATGGGATGTTATGAAAACATTGTGGGAGTGCAAATATTTCGAACCTATTTCTTATGGAGAACTTTTCACATATACTACTGACTTATATAAACAGAACCTTGCACCATTTAAAGATTTGACATATGCTCCAAAGTATTGTGTACAACTGAAGAAGAAAGCAGAGTCAAAAGAAGTAAATAAAGCTAAATGTAAATTCATACCTGAGCACGTTTTCTTTGCTGACTTTGAGTGTAGTACGGATGGCTTTCATAAAGCTTTTAACATCTGTTATGACAGTGAAGATGGTTCAGTTAGTGAAAGCATTTGGGGTCAAAACTGTGCAACAGAATTTTTGGAAAGACTTCCTGACAAGAGTTTAATATATTTCCATAACCTCAGTTATGACATAAACTTCATCTTAAGACACATGACAGAAGTGAAAGGAACTCCCATCATTAAAGGTTCACGAACAATGCAAATAACTGGTTTATATAAAGGACGGGCAATTATTATAAAAGACTCTTACAGTGTTATAAATAAGAAGCTTAAACTATTTCCTGCTATGTTTAACTTACAAACAGGACCGAAAGAAGTATTTCCATATAACTACTACAGCAGTGTTTTGTTAGCAAATGACAACAGAACTGGTGTCATTTCTGAAGCATGTAAGTTTATCCATGATGCAGATACATTTATGAAGAACATAGATTCCATCAAAGGTTGCAGAATAGATGAAAACCACTTCGACTTAGAAAAATATAGCACGTTTTACTGCAAACAAGATGTAAGAATTTTAAGAGAAGGTTTTGTAAAGTTCCGCAATGACTTATTGAAAGAGTTTGATTTAAACGTTTATGACTACGTTAGTATTTGTTCTATTGCTAACAAATTGTTTGAGAACAGAGTATACTTCCCGAATGGAAATCTTTATGACCTCTCAAATAAACCAAGAGAATTTATTTCGAGATGCATTCAAGGTGGAAGATGTATGTTGTCAGATAACATGAAACAAAAGAGCAAAAAGAAACTCATTGCTGACTTCGACACTGTTTCATTATATCCTTCAGCTATAGCAAGACTTTATACTTTAGAAGGAATTCCAAAAGTATTGAAGGAAGAAATGTTAAGCACAGAGTATCTCATGAGACATTTATTCGATGATGACCAAAAGGAACCCATTGGTGAAAAGTTTATGTCTGGCTTCTTTGTTCTCATTAAGATAACAGAGATTGGTATACCCAGACACTTTCATTTAATAGTTTGCGACCCTGAACTAAATCCAGAACTTAACGTTCCAAGAAGTTCAAACACTTGCTGTCTCATGTATGTTGACCATATAACATTACAAGACCTCATAAAATATCAAGGTGTCAAATGTGAAGTGTTGCAAGGATACTATTACGATGGAAACAGAGATATGAGAATAAGAGATGAAGTAAAGAAGTTGTTTGAGTTAAGGTTAAAGTATAAGAAAGAAGGAAACCCCTTACAAGAAATTATAAAACTCATTCTGAACAGCATTTATGGCAAAACTATTCTATCTCCTATTGAGTCAAAAATAACCATAGTAAATGACAAAGATGCTATAAGATATGCTATAAGAAATTACAACCATATAGTGAAGTTCGAAGGTTTGGATGGTTCAGATAAAACTATTTTCAAGCTAACGAAAAGCATTTGCAGACACTTTAACTTCTGTCCACTTGGTGTTAATATTCTGTCTATGTCAAAACGTATTATGAATGAAGTATTCTGTACTGCAGAGGATGGGACTTCAAATTTTACCAGGATACCGACAGTATGCACTTATATAATGAAGACATCCCAAAGCTTGCAGCAGAGTTTAAGAAGAGATATGGTCGCGAACTTATAGGAAAGAACCTTGGTCAATTTCATAGCGACTTTGCAGAAATAACACCTGGAAAACAAAGTTTAGCTTATAAAAGTATTTTCTGTGGAAAGAAGACCTACATAGACTTACTCACTAACGATTTAAATGAAGTTGCATTTCACTGCAGAATGAAAGGCGTGAAGCAAGATGTTATTGCTTTAACCGCTAATGAAATGTTTCCTGAAGCTATACAATGCTATTACAATGAAGATAAGAACATTCACATACCTGTTGGAACATATGACAAAGACTCTGAGTTCAGTTTAATGAAACTTTACAAAGCACTTTATGATGGTCAAGAGATTGCATTCGACTTATGTAAGTCATGTCAACCTTGCTTTGCTGAAAAGTTCAACTTTTCAATAACGACTAAAACAAGCTTTATTCGTAAGTTGAAGTTCTGAGGTCATGGGCTTCGCCCTTGCCGCTAGCGGCTTATTTTTGTCAGCAATGAGGTCATGAATGAGGTCATTCGTGATAAAAATAAAGCTAGCGTAGATTTTACAATACTGCGATGGTAGAGTTTAAGAGTTGTGCTTCAATGTAGAGACAGTCCTTATGGTCTGGAGGCAAGAACACTGGACATTTATGGTCATGAGTGGAGAACATGTCTATCCAAAACTCACGATTGAAGCCAGTTAATTTATAGTATTTAGGGTTAGAAAGTGGTGAAGTTCTTGTATGACCAATGAACTCATTTTCAACTCCCTTACTTAAGTTTGAATATAATATAGCTTGCTTTCTATCCCAAATGCCAGGTGTTACAATCTTTGAAAATTCATTTTTCCTCGGAAGCATTGCATCATAATTGAAAACATTCTTAAAATCATCACTTGGTTCGGAGATTTGAAATCTTATACGTAATGGATTTTCTTTCTCTTTAGCGACTTCATTGAATGGTGAGAATACAATGAATTGACAGTCATGAGTTCCATCTTCATTTTCATTAAATTCATAATGAAAGTCTATAAGTTGTGGCTGACTACCTTCTTCTTTCAGTTGTGCAAGAAACTCACGTAAAGGCTGTAAAGTTTGTACTTCAATATTGAACTTTTTCTCGAACATCTCATTAAATGAAATCATACATTGCAACAATGTTGTATCGTCTTTAAAGTATTTGTATATGTGAATGTTTTGGGCGCTTAAAGACTGTTCGTCATTTTCTATCTCGACTTGAAGTATAAAGTCAACCTTTCTGAAAGCACGTGTTATATACATAGATGTTATGCCAATGTACTTCTCTTCATTTATGTTCACAATCCAGTCTGTTGGAAACTTAAACGTTACTCTGTTCCCCTTTATTTTGACGTCAGGGTTTTCACTACTGAACGCAACAGATAAAGGTATTTGTCTATACATTTAGTTCGGATAAAAATAAACCATTTACTCTTTCTTTGCTTCAGCTTCTTTAGCTTTTGCTTCAGCTTCTTCTCTAGCTTTCTTCGCCAGCAAACGTGGGTTCTTTTGTCTTCCAGCAGCTAATGCAGCAAGTTGTTTTTCACTAAGTTTTCTCTTTGGTCTCTCTGGCTTTTGTTCTTGTTTTTGTTCCTTCAGTTCGGATAAAATTTGCTCACGAATTTCTTTCTTCAATGCTTCAACATCTATGACCCCTTGGGTCTTGTCCGTAGGGCTTGTCTGAGTCATTTGACTGCAGATAAAAAACTAAATTAAAACTTTAACCGATGTAAAATGAGCTTGTCAAAATCAGAGCGAGAGTCTATTATATTAAATGACGCAAGAGGAATACAACATCCTTTCTATTACGTAAGTCAGAGTAAAGATGGTAAAATATACGTAAGAAAAAGAAAGGTTCCATTAGCGAATGCAGAGAGCGACAACATTAAGGTGCATGGCAAGGGTGAAGTCCACGAAGCCCATATAAAACCTTCTGTTCAAACTGAAAAGTCAATAGAACAAGAAGAAAAGAAGCCAGATGTCTTTCAATAACGAACCAAGAGCTTATTGCAAAGTTCGTGAATTTCATTGAAAAGCAAACCGAGTCAAAGAACCCTGACCCGCCAGTGAAAGAAGTTGAGACAAAAGAGAATGTACAGTTCATTGAAAATGTCAAGAAACAACTTCCACCACGAATGCCAAGAAGAAGAGTGAGAATAATGAAGTAAATAGATATTTTTATCTGAAGTAAATACATGCAGAACGAACAGCTAAACGAATTTACTCCAGCAGAGCATATTCATCAGATTCGCTCATATTTCGATATCATAGACAATGCAGTTCAAATTGGTGACACTAATAGAAAATATTCTGACGCAAAGATTCCATCACAACCTGGAACTGCTAAAGATAACACATGGGTAACATTCAATCTCTCACCTCCTGGTGAAAATATGTTGGACCTTTACAATACATTCATTACGTATAAAATGGAAGGTCAATTTATTTAGATAAAGAAATTGGTTCAGGTTCCAATAAAACAAACCCACCAGGATTTTGGATTGGTTTCGATGACGCTTTCTATGCAGTTGCTGGATATCAAATCCTTGCAAATGGTCGTATCGTATATTCTCAAGACAACGCAAGAGAAGAAGCATATATAACTTCAAACTCACAAACTACCGAACAAATAAAGAAAGTAGATGTTTTCTCAAAGACTCGACATGAAGATGTATGGAGTCATTCGGGAACATGCAGAACAGGACAAATTGTTAGTGGTCCAATTACAGCAGGAAAATCATTTGATTTTAAGCTTCGTTTAAGAATTCCTGTTAGAAGATTCCTTCCATTAGAAGCTATTCGATTTATTCCAGCTTTTGCAGGAAACATTCAGCTTAAAGTAAAGTTCAGTAGCGACGCCTTACAATGCACATCTATATCTGTAAATGATATCATTGCTTTCAATCCAACTCTTAAAGTTGCATTTGCTTCAGATTCAAATCCACCGACAAATAAATTTGTTCCATGGAATGAACCATTCACTATGATAACGAAGGCAGTAGAAGCTAGTGGAACAGTTACTATTACAACTGTAACCAGCAACTATTTCGAACAAAGATGGATTTTAATGAATGTTTCATTCATCCAAAGTCATTCTCTTTAGACCCTAACATTTATACAGAACTTGTAGAACATTATACAAACGAGGCTTTATGTTTTCCTGTTAAAGTTATGGATTGGATTCCTATGGACGGTTCATTCTCAAAGAATACAGATAGTTCAAGTGCAACATTTACAGCAGCTTATACGCCTATTAATGTTAAAAGTATTTGGGCACTATTTAGAAAGAAAGACAACTATTATGTTAATTTTGAGAACCCTAAGTTTAAATATCTTCAGCTTTCCATGGGAGCTTATGGAAATATACCTGCAGAACCTGAAAAATCATATGGACCTGTATTTTATGAAATGGTTGCGAACGCCTGCAATACAAACAATGATATGATTGGATTTAATGAAGATGTTATGAGGTCATTGGTGGATGATGGTAGTGTGGAACATAAATGGGATAGCTATGACAACACACATTTCTTATGTGGTTTTCCAACAGAAGTAGACTTTTGCTTCCAGCAAGGTCAAACATCTACTGCTCCAATAACATACAAATTGTCTGTTAAAGGACCTATTGAACTAGCAACTGAAAACGTACCAAAGCCACTTATTGGATTTATGAGGGATTGTTGCTTTGCCATTCAGGTGCGTGCTAATGGAATCCCAATAATAAGATTAGATGACTATAACTTAGCTACGGACGACAGTGAGGAATAAAGGATGAACGTTTATTTTTAAAGCTTATAAATGAGTTCTTCATCAAGCTCTCGTGAACCTTCACCATCTATGAAACAAACTTTACCAAACGATTATGGAGCACCTATTGAATATTTCTTACGAGCTGCACAATGGCAAAGAGCAGTCTCACCAAGGTTAGGTGTTCCACCAGCTCCTGTCAAAAATAGCATTTGGTCAAGTCCTTATATAAAATATGGTCTCCCACTAGGTTTGCTAGCTACAGCAGGAGCAGTTATGATGTTGAAAAGAAATAAAGCAAATGTTATAAATAATACTGAAGTAGCTGAAGTTAAACAAACTCCAACATCATCACAAACAACACCTTCACAAACAACACCTTCAATGACTCCTGAACCTATGAAAGTACAAACTCCTGTTCAAAAGTCAACTCCTAAACCGACTCCAACATTTAAACCAGAACCCACGCCTCAAATAAATCGTAAAACTCCTGCGTTTCCTTACTGAAAAAATAACGTTATTTTTATTTAATATTAAAATTTTTATTTGATTGAAATGACGACTAAAGTCACTGAAGCAATGAAACAAAAATTTTTGGTAGAATACATTAAATCAGGAACTATTCCAGAAGGTTTTTACGTTCATACTATGAAGGATGGTAGAGTTCAGTTTAGAAAGATAAAGCAACCATTAGATAGAGAAGGTATATTAAGGAAGATTAAACTTCATGAGGACAACATTGCTGAACTTAAGAAGAAGTTAGAAGAGTTGGAGAAAGGAAGAGAGTTATAAAGTAATGAATTCAAGTGGGTGAAAAAACAGGTGAAAAAAGAGGTGAAATCTCACCTCTTCACCTAAATTTATTTTTGTGCTATGTTTTCATACGTGTGGGAGTGGTGATATCATTAATTTTTAAGTTTATTTTTTATTTTATTTTTATATAAATGACGAAAACTATTGAGATAACAAACTACAACGGTCATGAGTTCAAGAATTTGTTCTTCGTTCCTCGTGAAAATACATTCTATCAGATACGAGGGAGAAAGGGTAAAGTTAGTTTGAGCGTTTACGACAACAAACATAATGGGAGATATATAAAAGCAATAGATACAAACGGTAAGCGTGTTTCATTAGCTTTGTCAAAACTTACATACATTTATTTTGACAGTGATTTTGACTCTGACGATTGGAGTGACAGCAGCGATACTGAAGAATATGAACTATTGTGTGAAGCACAGCAATGGGAAGCGCTGCAATACTTTTGTAAATGAGAATATTAGTGGGAACGTTAGTGAGAACGTTTATTTTTTCATTAGTGAAGTCGTTAGCGAAAATGTTAGTGAGGTGAAGTGGTTGGCGGCTTTGTAAATATTTAAGGTTAAGTTAGTGTTGTCGTTTGTGTTGTAAAATATACGTTAGTGGTTTTGTAAAGTGTCAAATTCACAAGTATTGGGTAAGGTGGAACGCAGTGCCACAGTACCCAAGACTTGTATACTAACTCCTTACTCTACTCGAACACATTACGCAGCCCTGGTCACTCAAAGGCCAGGGCATACAATTACAAAATAGTAGAGTGAGGCTCTTCTAATTTCTTCCAATCACAAGGGAAGATCTTAGAAGAGCCTTACTCTACTCGAACACATTACGCAGCCCTGGTCACTCAAAGGCCAGGGCATACAATTACAAAATAGTAGAGTGAGGCTCTTCTAATTTCTTCCAATCACAAGGGAAGATCTTAGAAGAGCCTTACTCTACTCGAACACATTACGCAGCTCCTGTTCAACAATGAGCAGGTCTTACCACTTTGAGAGGCTTTCGCTCGAGTTCTGATGCAGATCCCAACGCGAGCGAGAGTCTCTCAAGCAAGCTTCTAATTTGTAGCTAGAGTTTCACTCTTATGAACTGGCAGCCAATTTGAGGAGTAGGGGTAATTTTAGCTAAAAGTGACACACCCGTGAAGGGTGTGATTACCGATCGGTAATTTCGACAGTTTAGAATTTAAAATTTTTTATGGAACTGTTGCGAGTTTCATAAAGAATTTAAGGAATATAAGCAAAGATTTGAATCAAAATCTTAGACCTAAGCCGCTCGATTCGCTCGCGGCTTTCTTTATTATTTTAAATTTGCATATTCCATCAAAAGTTCATAAGGTAAAAAATTTCGTTTATTTTTACTAAGAAAAAAAAGTTTTTGATAATAAAATTTATTTTATTTCGAAAAAGTTGCAATAATCGTAAAAGGGTATTGATAGGCTTGCTAAAGTAACTAATTTTAGCTGTCAAATACTTTTGTATTTTAAGTAAATTAGTATAAATTTGTTTTTACTTTTTATTTCGAAAAAGTAGCAATAATCGTAAAAGGGTATTGATAGGCTTGCTAAAGTAACTAATTTTAGCTGTCAAATACTTTTGTATTTTGAAGTAAATTAGTATAAATTTGATATTATTTTAACTCCCTTTGAAAACCTCAATTTTCCATACAGAGGGAACGGGAATAGCATCCAATATTCCCTGAGAATGGTTGCGCATTCTCAGTTCCCTCTATATTTCGAACGAAGCTCTCATCAGTCTTTTTTTTAATACTAAACGTTTTTTTCCCTGTCACTTTTAGCTAAAATTTGGGTTTGCCGCCAATTTGAGAGACTTTCGCTCGAGATCTAATGAAAAATCAGAACTCGGCCAAAAATCGCCCAAACAGGCTTGTAATTCGTAGCTCTAGTATTGATCGTATGGATGTGTAGCCAATCTGAGAGACTTTCGCTCGATGTCTGATGCAATATCAGACATCGAGCGAAAGTCACTCAAAACAGCTTAGACATGTCTATTTTGACGGCATTAAATGATTTCATAGGAAATGTCTCAGTTGTTAATTAAGTTCACGTGAGCTTTTATGAATGAAAATAAGTAAAAAAAGAATTTTCTCAAAAAAAATTGTGTACGCATTGAAATTTTTATCTATAAATTTAGATATGTCGTCAATAATATAATATAATTTTAAATTCGTGGAGTACACTTGGGATAATTGAATATGGGCTACTCCATCCCAACCTCTCAAACTTCCTCTGAATTTGGACAAGGTATCCCAATCCCAAAGACCTATCTGAATAAAATGAAATAAGTATATTATATATATTATTTATTTGCTAATAATGAGCATAAATCGCTAAAATTATGAAGAAATTAAAAATTAAAAATTAAAAATTAAAATTAGAAAAAATTGTTGATTTAATGAGAGAATATTGTATAAAAATAGAATTATTAGCTAAAATACGTATTAATTTTATGATATTTCAATCACATTAACGAAAATCGCCCATTTTTAATTCAAATGGGCGGGAAAAAAATAAAATTCCAAAAAAATTGAATTGGGGAAACGATAGGGGATGGGATATGAGAAGCCCCATATGTTTGGGAATTTTTCGCATCACTACATTGATTATCATTAATAAAATTAAATGCTTCAGCAGCAGTGACTATCATCTTTCCTTATCTCTTTTCCTGACCTCAAAGGCTTTTTTGAATAGAAATTTTACCTTTTTCTTCAAATTTTGTTAGAGATTTAAGTACATTATGAATTACACTATTCGATAATATTATTAGATCTATATGCAGATTATGTGAGCGTTTTCATATAGATTCCTTATTAAATCGCAATTTTTCTGTAATATTCTGATTCTATATGTCGAAATAAATCATTTGGCATTCTCAGATTTAAAAATACCTAGTAGTGTTTTGCGTGTAAAAGAGGTAAGGTTTACAAGTGTCACTTTTTACAATGTCGGATTTTAATAGCATAATTGAGTTTTTGCTTGCGAAAAACGGAATTGGAGGCTATAAGGCACGGATATATGATCAATATCTCATAGCCTCCAATAGCTATTATGAGGCTTCCAAACTTATGACAGTTTTATAAATATTTTTTATGATATTTAGTTTTTGTATGAGAATATGAGACTGCGAAGTGTTGACTTCGAGTCTTCGCCTTGCAGTCTCATAATCTTATATGAAAAATTTGCAAACATGGAGTTAATGCGAAACAATTTGACATGTAAACCAAAAATATATTAATATCTAATAATTATTTAATTAATACAATATAAATGATTTTATTTTTTCAGAATTAGAATTGGAATGATAACATGGCAGTTGTAGAGCTATGGTCCAAACTATATCTTCCAGATACTTTTTTTAAAACATAAAATTTTTATTTCATATCAATAGTTAGTATACATATGTTGCGTACTGTGGCACTGCGCACCTACTTACCCATTATATGTGAATTTGACACTTTACAAAACCGTTAACGTACATTTTACAACACAAACGACAACACTAACTTAACCTTAAATATTTATAAAGCCGCCAACCACTTCACCTCACTACTGTAAAAAATAAACGTTCTCACTTACAAAAGTATTGCAACTCCTCCCATTGCTGTGCTTCACTAACGACTTCACACGTATGAAAACATAGCACAAAAATAAATTTAGGTGAAGTGGTGAGATCTCACCTCTTTTTTCACCTGTTTTTTCACCCTGTTGAATTCATTGCTTTATAACTCTCTTCCTTTCTCCAACTCTTCTAACTTCTTCTTAAGTTCAGCAATGTTGTCCTCATGAAGTTTAATCTTTCTCAAAATTCCTTCTTTATCTAATGGTTGCTTTATCTTTCTAAACTGAACTCTACTATCCTTCATAGTATGAATGTAAAAACCTTCTGGAATAGTTCCTGATTTAATGTATTCTACCAAAAACTTTTGTTTCATTGCTTCAGTGATTTTATTTGTCATTTTACTCTAAGGTGAAGCTAGCACAGCGATAATGGATTTCATGACTTTTTAGTATTTCATGCAATCTTAACAGATAGCCTTACAAGTACTTCCAGTGTCCCTAGCTGTCCCTCCTTTTTATATAACTCCATGACATTTATAATCTCGCGAAACTTAACAGGTAGCATAACAGATTAAAATCAGATGAGGTTTTGAACCAAAATTTCTAAGCAACGTTGTCAAGGATTTTGAGG